GGGGGGGGGGAACGGGGAGTGGGCGGTGAAAAAGGAGGGGGTTAAGTAAAAAAAACTTAATTAAAAGGAAAGAAGAGAAGAGAAAAGAAAGAAAAAAAATCAAAAAAATGTTGAACTGAACCTGAACGTCGTAGCATCCGCGGCCGAATCTGCGGTCAGATCCACGGCCGAATCCACGGTCAGATCTGCGGCCGCGGACATAACACTATGTGAAATTCGCGGTCGATCCGCGGTCTAATCCGCAGCCGAGGATTAAGGCCTTAATTTTTTTTGTGCTTTTTTCGCACTTTTGCCTATCTCTGGGATAACTTCGTCACCTCGAGTCCTTTCGCCGCGCATACTTTCATTCTTGCATCTTAGTAGATCGATTAATATTGTCACCGTTCAAAAATCAATTACAAAATAAGAATAAAGAAAAAAAACAATGGGTTGCCTCCCAAAAAACGCCTAATTTAACGTCGTGGCACGAAGATTTACAACAAACCATGGGTTGCCTCCAGGAAGTGCCTGATTTAACGTCGCGGCACGATGCAGGCTTTCATTATTACTCTTCGCTCATGTATTGGGGCTCTTCCAAAGATATCACCACTTTATCCCCCTTTTTCTTCGATCATTCCAAGGTAATGTTTCAACCTTTGCCTATTCACCGTGAACTTATTTGTTCCATCTTCGGATTTAGTTTCTACAGCTCCACTTGAGAACATTTGCACCACTTTGAAGGGTACTGACCATCGGGACTTCAATTTACTCGGAAACAATCTTAGTCTCGAGTTGTATAGTAATACTAGATCTCCGTGTTTGATGTTCCGATCTAGAATATGCTTATCATGAATAATTTTCATCCTTTCTTTGTACAATATTGCATTATCAAATGCATGGAACCTAAATTCATCGAGTTCATGTAACTCAGCGACTCTACTGGTGCCTACGGTCTTCATATCCAAATTCAACTGCCACAGTGCCCAAATGGCTTTGTGCTCAAGCTCCACCGGAAGGTGACATGCTTTTCCAAACACCAACTTGTATGGTGACATACCAATTGGACTTTTAAATGTTGTGTTGTACATCCATAATGCATCATCCAACTTCTTTGCCCAATCAGTCCTTGTCGCATTCACTGTTTTGGTTAGGACACTTTTGATTTCCCGGTTTGACACTTCAACTTGCTCGCTCGACTATGGGTGATAAGGTTTGGTCACCTTATGGAGAACTCCATACTTTTCCAACAACTGTGCGAACGCTCTATTGCAAAAATGTGTTCCACCATCACTGATTTTAGCTTTTGGGGTGCCAAAACGTGTGAAGATATTTTTATTTGAAAGCCTGTCACCCCTTTTGCATCATTGGTTGGGAGAGCCACAACTTCAACCCATTTGGAGACATAATCAATTGCCACCAGTATGTATTTGTTACCATACGAGCTGACGAATGGCCCCATAAAGTCAATCCCACACATGTCAAATACCTCCACCTCTTGAATAGTAGTCATCGGTATCTCGTGACGTCTAGATATGTTGCCTATCCTTTGGCACTAATAGCAACTTTTCACCCAAGAATGGGCATCCTTGAACAGAGCTGGCCAATACAAACCCGATTCCAACACTTTAGCCGCTGTCTGAATTCCTCCAAAGTGTCCACCATATAGTGAAGCATGGTAAGCCTGCAAAACAGAATGTTGATCTTTCTCGGGGATACACATCCGGATCATGTTATCTACACATAATTTAAAAAGTAGAGGTTCATCCCAATAATAAGACCAACAATCGTGAAAGAACTTTTTCTTTTAAATTGAAGAGAGTTCATAAGGTACAATACCGCTTGCTAAATAATTAGCAATATCAGCATACCATGGCGTCTCCTCCATTATCACTACTAGTAACGGTTCATCCGGGAATGTCTCTGTTATATATTCAACCTCTACCTTCTTTTTAGCTCCTCCCAACCTTGAGAGGAGGTCTGCTACTTGGTTCTCTATCCCTTTTCTGTCACGGATCTCCAGATTGAATTCTTGTAGCAAAAGAATCTAGTGGATCAAGCATTGCTTTGACTCCTTTTTTATTATCAAGTACCTAATTGATGCATGGTTAGTATAAATAATAACTTTTGAATCAATCAAGTATGACCTGAATTTGTTGAATGCAAAAACTACAACCAACATCTCTTTTTCCGTCACGGTGCAATTGAGCTATGCACCGCTTAGCGTTCTACTTGCATAGTAAATTGGGTGCATCAGCTTGTCCTTTCGCTGCCCTAGGACTACTCCTATAGCATAGTCACTTGCGTCGTACATGAGCTCGAATGGTTGCTCCCAGTTAGGTGCAACAATGATGGGTGCAGTCACCAATCTCTTCTTCATTTCCTCAAATGCCAACCTACAATCATTAGAAAACACAAAGGGCTGATCCTTTTCAAGGAATTTACATAAAGGGTTAGTAATCTTAGAGAAATCTTTTATGAATCGCCTGTAGAACCCGACATGCCCAAGGAAACTTCTAATTGCCTTGACCGAAGTAGGTTGTGGAAACTTCTCAATCACGTCAAACTTAGCATGGTCAACCTCAATTCCTTTACTGGACACTCGATGCCTCAAGACTATCCCTTCTTGTACCATAAAATGACACTTTTCCCAATTCAGCAGTAAATTTGTCTCAACACATCTTTTGAGCACTCTTCTTAAAATGTGAAAACAGTCCTCGAAATGAATCCCCCACCACAGAGAAATCATCCATAAATACCTTCATAATATCTTCCAACATGTCCGTGAAAATGGCTAACATACATCGCTGGAATGTAGCCGGTGCATTGCAAAGTCCAAAAGGTATTCTCCAAAAGGTAAAGATGCCATACGGATAGGTGAAGGATGTTTTCTCTCTTTCTTCGGGGGCTATTGAGATCTAATTGTACCCCAAATATCCATCTAAGAAATAGAAGTGAGATCACCCAACCAACCTCTCCAACATTTTTTCAATGAATGGCAAGGGAAAATGGTCCTTCCAGGTGGCTGTGTTCAATTTCCAATAATCCATGTACATTTGTCATCCCGTGACTGTACGAGTCGAGATCAACTCATTATTCTCATTTTGTATGACCGTCATTCCTCCTTTTTCAGCATACACTGAACAGGACTGACCCAATTGCTGTTAGAGATGGGAAAGATGATACCCGCATCTAACCATTTGATCACTTCCTTCTTCACCACCTCTTTCATATTTAGGTTCAGCCTTCATTGATATTCTCTGGAAGGTTTGTGCCCTTCTTCCAAGAGAATCTTGTGCATACAAAAAGCTAGGCTGATACCCTTTATGTCTGTCATGGTCCAACCAATAGCAGTCTTACATTCCTGTAACATATGTAGGAGTTGCTCTACCAGCACAACTAGCAAACCAGATGATATAATAACATGTAAAGTAGAATTAGGCCCTAAGAAAGTGTACTTAAGGTTAGCTAGAAGCGGTTTCAGGTCCAACTGTGGTGGCTCCTCTATCGATGGTTTCGTAGATGGTATTGTTCTTTTTTCTAAGTGTAGGGGCTCGAACTGGGGTTCCCTTTTCCAGAACCCTTGACCATCAAGAGCCATGACCTACTCTGCCAACTCCTCACCATCCACATTTTCTAGATTCATCAAGCAGGCTTCTAGCGGATCCCTGACATTAATAGTTTCATCCTCTTCATGTAGTATTACATCTACGACCTTCACTAGTGAGCAATTTGCAAATTCGTTGGGTCTCCTCATAGATTGTTGAACATTGAATATTATCTCTTCATTTTTCAACCTCATTTTCAATTCTCCAGTCTCACAATTAATCAATGCTCTCACAGTGGCTAAAAACGGCCTTCCCAGAATAATTGGTATCTCTTCATCCACTTGACAATCAAGAATGATGAAGTCTGCAGGGAATACAAATTTTCCTACTTGAACTAGCACATCATCAAGAATTCATGTCGGTCTTTTGACTGTGAATCAGCCAGTTGTAGCAACATTAAGGTCGGTCTAGTGCTGCCAATGCCCAGTTTTGTATAGACTGCCAATGACATCAAGTTTATACTGGCTCCCAAGTCACATAATGCTTTAGCAAAAGCATAACTCCTGATGGTGCATGGGATAGTGAAACTACCCGGATCAGACACCTTTTGAGCCATGGACCTCATCACTACCGCATTGTAGGTTTGCATCAGAGTTATAGTGGACATGTCCTGGAAGTCAAATTTTTGCGACATAAGGTCCTTCATCATTTTTGCATACCCTGGAATTTCCCTCAAAGAATCCATCGGTGGAATATTCAATTGAATTTGTCTGAGCATTTCAATGAATTTTCTGTATTTATCATCTTTTTTTTGCTTTGCCAACCTCTAAGGGAATGGTGCAGGAGTAAACCTCTGCCCATTACTTTGTGTCTTTTCTTTGTTGGAAGCTTTTTCTACCACCTGTTCTGGGAGTTGTTTACCTTCTTTATCCTTACCCTTGTCAACATGTGCCTGTTCAATTACAACCTCGGTGAGCTCTGCTAACTCATTTGTCTCTAATGTAACTAGAGTAACATGAGTAGTTTCCGTTGTCTCTCTCCTAGATTGAGCAACTTCTTGCTCCTTGTCTAAATCTCTTATATTCCTTTGGATTAATATTTGTATCTGCAGGCAATGTTTTTTGTATGCAATTGTTCAAGGCCATAGATAGATGTCCCAATTGAGTTTCAATGAACTTTGATTGCAGAATCATGTGCAGCTCACTTCTCTTGCATATTTCCATTTGTCCCAATGAGTTATTGCAGCATGCCCCTGATTTCGATCATGCTACTTTCCTGTTGTTGATGAGGTGGTTGGTAAGCCAAATGTTGCTAGTGTCGCTGATTATAGCCCTGCTGCCTTTGATAAGGCACGACTTGGCCTTGTGGTCATGCTCCTCCTGGATTGGGGTTGTGCTATGGTTGGTTTGGTCTGTACTGTTGGTTTGATGTTGGTCCTCATTGCTGCCTACCTTGCCTCTGATCTCCGAAATTATTGGCATAATTCATGTCTTATCTGAAAATTTGGTTGTCATTCTCTCCACTCCACGAGCACACATATGACTGGTTTATGCAAGGAGTGCATAATCCTCCATTTGTGGTATCAAAAATGTGCACCTCTTTCGTAACCATATCATCTATTTTCTTTGTCAGCAAGCTCATCTGGGTCATGAGAGTGGCTATGTTTTCTGCATTTGTGTTATTTGGCTCAAGAGCGACAAAATGCACTATTTGAGTGAATGTTGTGTCTCTCGTCATCCAGCTTGAATTTTGAGACATCTTGTGAAGAAGAATCTTACACTCTATGAATGTTTTGCTCAAGAATACACCTCTGGTAGAGGCATCTACATTGGCCTTCAGACTATCAGCCAAACCCATATAGAATCTCTATCCCAGCATTTGATACGGAATGTCATGGTGCAGACACTTTACCAACATACCCTTAAACCTCTCCCAGGTTTCTTGCAAAGTCTCAGTCGATTTCTGCCTGAATTGAAATATCTCATTAATTTGCCTCACAGATTTGTTGGGTAGACAAAACTTGTTTAAGAACTGCTTGACTAGTTCCTCCTAAGTAGCAATGGAGTTTATTGGGAGCGAATTCAACCAAGTCTGAGCCTCCCCAGTCACTGAGAATAGGAACAATAATAATTTGATTGCCTCAGGAGTCACATTCGGTTGTCTTTGAGTGACACAAATTGATAGAAAGTTCTTCAGATGTTGTTGTGGGTCTTCGATGTATGACCCGGAGAACAACCCTTTATTCTGCAATAGGTGCAACATGTTGTTCGTAATCTGGAATGTCTCTACTTGTATATGAGGAACTGTAATTGTTGTGGTCATGTTGTCAGCAGTTGGTTGCACCCAATCATAGAGAGAAACTAGTGCTACCACTACGATATTTGGGTCATCTCGATCATTCATGTTGTTCCCGTTGACGTTGTCTACGTCACCCATTTCAATTTCGAATTGTTCGTTTTGTTTTAACTGTTTGCCCTCTTGTTAGCCCGGTTCAATGTCCAAAATGCTTTCACGGGATTAAGAGTCCTTCAAAGAGTTCACCAGTTCTCAAGGAGCTTCTAGGCATGCACCTGAGTCACAAAAGAGTTCAAACGTGAGAATTTCAATGGAAATATTTTTAACACCACAGAAAATTGATCTAAACTAATAATCCTAGCAATTCTTCCAAGTTGCAATAAATAACACCGTTAGTTCCCCGGCAACGGTGCCAAAATTTGATCACACCCAACTATGCCTTATAAAAAGGACTAAGCCGTCGCTGCAAATATAATCCAGTCCAAGTCCGGAGTCGAATCCCATAGGTTACTAACCTATTTACTACAACTTTTAGTACTGCTAATGATAAGCTAAAACAATTCCTAGATGCAAGATTTTTAATGGATAATTAATAGAATTTATTTAACTAAGGAAAAATGACAATAAAACTAGCAATAATCAAGAATAGCGTTGAATTCAATGGTAAAATGGTCTAGGGTTATTGATTTCCCCAATTGTCGGATTAATTCCTGACACGTTAGCTATAATCTCGTTGTAACACTCTATAATGAATATGAGTTTTGTGCTACCGCAATTATCTCTCGAACTACTCTAGTTAACAATTTATGCAACTCAGAATTATCCCACCAAAGCTTCGTTATCTCTAACCCTAATATTAAATTCAAGTAATTAATCTCTTAACTTACCCGAAAGTAGTGTTGTTCAACAATAATCTAACCAAGTGTTCTTTATCAAGCAAAACAAGATAACTAGACACGATTAATCAAGGGCCCTTTCAATTAATCACGAGACAACACGTAGTTGAATAATCATAGAGTAAAAACGGCTCCATTTTATCAAAACAGAGTCAAGATTTCATCCAATAATTGGTTCCATCAACCCTAGATGACGGGTTTAGCTACTCATACTTATATATAAAAATTCACTATAGAAAGTCCTAATCAACAATGGAATTAAAAAGAAGAAGATATAAACTCTAAGGAAATTCTCTGTCTTTCTTCCGTGTTCTTGCCTTCAAAATCTCTCTAAAAATTGTTGTCCCCCTCTTTTGGATGAATTAGGCTTCATATAGGTTTAGGTTAGTTTCCCTAGAAGTAATAAACCCTGGGTTATTGGCTTTCGTCCGCTCGTCCGCGGATTGGACCGCATATCGGACTGCGGATTTCACCCAGCATTCTGCCTCAATGTGCAGCCCAGTGCACGGTCAATCTGCATCCGTGAACCTGGAGGGGATTTTCCCACTTTCTTTTCTTTCTCCTTTTCGTCCGTGCTGTCCTCCGATTGGCCTTTCATGCTACATATTGACTCCAAAACACTCTTTAGCTTCTTCATAGCTCGGAGTAGCTCCTGCAAAACATAAAGACTTTTGTTATATTTTAACATTCAAACATTGATAAAGTGCGGCCAAATTAGAGTGTAAATAGTATTTAATTTGCATAATTATAGTCTACTATCAGTACCGGGTTGACCCGTGATGTTGTGCTATAATTTCATATATTTTTACATTATTTACCCTACTTGCTTGTTTTTTGGATGTTAATTTGTGTGACAATTGAGCATAATAGGGCTTATTTCACGTGTAAAAATGCTTGGACATGAATTGAAGAAAAGTTGCACGAAATGGTACCTCTGAGCTACAAAATAGATCAATAGAAGAAGACGTGCAAGGCAATGACAAGTCATGGCCATAGACAGTGCAAGGCCTTGTCCAATGCACTGTCATTGGAACCCTTGACAGTTTCTCTCGCAAAAACATTGGCGTCCCTAACAGTGCCTCAAGCAGAAATGTTGGCACCTCTAACAGTGCCTTTGCTATCCGAGCCAATTTTATTTTCTCACTAGTTTTGGACATGTAGACTTCGGCCCCAATCCTATAAATACCTTTGAAAGTTAGTTTTTGAGGGGTTAGGCATCAGTAGATAGGCAAGAGGCTACAGAACACTTTGGAAGCACGAATCACTTGAGTTTTTCTCTCCGCTTTCTTTTAATTTGTAATTTAATGCTTTTAGATATTACGGTGATTATTTACACAGTTATAAGTAGCTAAACCCATCATCTAGGATTAATAGAATTAATTGTTGGATGAAATCTTGATTGCGTTTTGATATAATTGAGACATTTTTACTCTTTAATTGTTCAACAATGTGTTTCTTGTGGTTAATTGAAGGGCCCTTGATTAATCGTGTCTAGTTATCTTGTGTTGTTTGAGAGAGAACACTTGATTAGATTATTGTTGAACAACTCCACTTTTGAGTAAGTTAAGATATTAATTGAAAGCGGGATTAGAGATAACGAATCTTTAGCGTGATATTTATGAGTTGTACGAATTGTCAGCTTGAGTAGTTCGAGAGAATACTTCTTGTAAATTATCATAATTTATTAAGAGATAATTGCGGTAAACAAGAAGTCATCATCTTTAGAGGGTGTTATGATGAGATTATAGCTAACATGTCAGGAATTAATCCGGCAATTAGGAAAATCGTAAACCCTAGATCTTATTATCCTTGATTCAGCCTCATACTTGCTAATTGATAGTTTTCACTATCATTTTTTCTTAGTTAAGTAATTATTTTCAATTCACAAATCAAATATTGAACTCTAAAAGTTGTCTGAGCTTATCAATAGTAATACCGAAAAGTTGTGGCAAATAGGTGAGTTCTCTATCGGATTCAACTCCGGACTCTTGAACTGAATTATTTTTGTAGCGAACGCTTAGTCCTTTTTATAAGGCATAGTTGGTGGGCGTGATCAAATTTTGGCTCCGTTGTCGGGGAACTAACAGTTTTATTCGTTACAACTTGAAAGAATTGCTAGGATTTTTAGTTAGATTGATTTTCCGTGGTGCTAAAAATATTTCCATTAAAATTCTCACGTTTGAATTCTTTTGTGTCTTAGGTGCATGCGTAGAAGCTCCTTGAGAACTGGTGAACTATTTGAAGGTCTCTTAGATCCCGCGAAAGCATTCAGGACATTGAGTCGGGCTAACAAGAAGGACAAACAACTAAAATAGGTCAAACAAATTGAAATTGAAATAGGTGACATCGAGAACCTCAACAGGAACAATATAAATAATTAAGTTGACCCAAACATCAGAGTGGTATCACCCCTTGTGCCGGAGGCTGCTCTATATGATTGGGCGCAACCAACTATTGACAACCTGGCAACTGTAATTGTAGTCCCTCCGATACAAACGGAGAATTTTCAAAATATAAACAATATACTGCACTTGCTGCATGACAAATCTGTTCT